TTCCTGAAGAGAGTCACCTCTCCATGTCATGCCCCTCCCCAGGGCAGCCTATAGCTAATAACATCCCAGCCACTTTGTCCCCACTCAAGAGAACTTTGAAGGGTCATTGAGTTTCAGAGCTTTTTATTACATCTGTACCATGGCTCAACACTTCCCTCTGCCCCACCCTCCTGCTGCAATGATTAGCCCATTTTTTAATATTGACAGTGGGAGTAAGAAAATAAAGCTAATTTCTTAGGAGAATGGACCATTGGGAGTTGAGATAGAGCAGACGGGCAAAGAGGAGGAATTATAGAAATAGAGTACAGTGTTGGATGGAGCTTAGAGAAGCCAGTGGCTTCAGCACAGGAGGGAAAGACCTTCAAAACCTTGCCATAAAAGGAAGAATTGGAGGAACTAAAAAGATGTAACTGGGGAAGTAGAGATTTATGGGGAATATGGCAGCAGTCTTCACATATTTGATCAAGTAGGGGTTAATCAGGGCCACACTGAATAGCCCTTCACTGGCAGTAAGCCAGAGACAGAGATGCAGAACGGGAGGAAGGCGGCCACCTCCCTGGGGTTCCTGGCAGGTGGGACTTCTCCCTCCTGCCTCCGCCTCCACCCCAGCAGAGCTGCTTCTTGCCCCTGTGATGATTTCTCCTCCTCTCTCATCACAAAACACACTTCAGTTTCACACAAGATTGCAGATTCAATAAATGTGAGTAATATTACCAAGTGAGAAGCAGCTCTGAATCCTGTGAAGAAACAGTGATCGCCTGTTTCCCCACCTGGCTCCAACAGAGGAGATGGGGTTGGATCCAACGCCTTCTGCTGGGTTTCCTGGCTTCTGCTCTCCACCCCCTGTAGACTATCCTCACACCATTTAGATAATCACATCACTCTCCAGCTTAATACCCTCTACTGTCCTCTCATTGCACTGTGAATAGAACCTAAGCGTCTTTCTGTGACCTCTGAGGTCTTTCATAGTCTGGCCCTTGCCTCCTTTCCCAACCTTACTTCCTGTGACTCCGCTTTCACACACCCTCTGGCTATACTAGCCTGGTTCCTGCTCAACCTTGAGTGCACTGGCCTAATTGGCCTCAGGGCCTTTGTACCTGCAAACCCTTTGCTTGTTCTTCCTTATTTTCTTCCATGAGCTCTTTGTTTGCCCCTTTTAGTTATTGTTTTCACTCTCTGATTAAAGGTCATTTCTTAAGAAAGGCTCTTCTTTCTCTAATTAATTAATTTTTAACTCAATGCCCTGTTTTATGCACACCTCCCCCCCATCTTTTCCAGTGTCCCAGTGTTTGAGGTTAGAGTCAGAGGAAGGGAAGCCCTGGCACTGAAGATGTGACATTAAGGGAGCCAGGGCCGCCCTTTCTTTCCCTCTGTCTCTTTCCCTAAGGAGAGAGCAACCACACACCTGGCCCCCATCAAGAAAAAGAATGTTGCTTCATGTTTTTTTATAGTGCTCTTTGCTCCCTGAAATTGTTTTGCTGTTTTATTGATTATGCAGTTTTGTTTCTTATTTTCCCCACAAAAAATATAAGCCTCAAATAGACAGAGATGTGTCTGTCCTGTCCAACACCATAGCTCCAGCATGCAGTACAGTTTTGGCATACATCAGGTGCTCAAAAAGCTATTTGTTGACTGAAAAAATGGCTGAGGATGGGCCTGAGAAGTAGCTCTGGAACTAATAGGTGGACAATTCAGAGGGCAGATTTTCAAAGCTACCTTAGGAGGGCTCACTCCTCACCTCTCCCTGGAAGTGTGTGGCAGAGACAGACTGCCACTTGTGAGGAAACCAGAAAGCAGAGGAAGTTTGGGGTTTGGAATCAGACAGATCAGGGTTTGAGTCCTGGCTCTGCTACCTCTTGGTTGGCTGTAGGCCTTGGACAGTTCCTTCATCTGTCAAGAAAGGGGTTCGATTAGAAGCCACCTCAGGGGGGCCTGGGTTGATTGAATGTTGCCTCTGAAGCCCTTGGCAAGTGCTGGGCACTTAGCAAGTGCTAAATAGATGTCAGCTATCAAGTGTCTGCTTCTGCAGAGATTATAGGTCCTAGCTCCATAATCTGCATGGTGCTCCTGAGGCCACAGTGGCTGGAGACTCACTTAAAGAAAAGCCTAACACTTGGTATTTTTCCCCCTGTGGCCCTAACTGCCCTCCCAGGGGGGAAAATAAACAGCAGCATCCCGGGGTTCGAGGGTGGGTGGTGGGGACGGTAAGGGACCCTCTAGACCAGGCGTTCTCAAACTGTAGCCCCTGGGCTACATGCGGCCCGCCTAGGACATTTATCTCGCCCGGTTTTTGCTGCCACTGCCTGTCCTGGTTAGCAGCTGACTTGTCCCGAGGCCTGCAGTCTGGCTCTCCATTGGTCTGAGGGACAGTGAACTGGCCCCCTGTTTAAAAAGTTTGAGGACTCCTGCTCTAGACTGTTCCTTCTCAGCTTCCTGCCTCCCATAACAACCAGAGCCCATCTCCTCTCTGGGAGCCAGGTGGGGAAACAGGCGATCACTGTTTCTTCACAGGATTCAGTGCTGCTTCACACTTGGTAATATTACTCACGTTTGTTGAATCTGCAATCTTGCGTGAAACTAGAGTGTGTTTTGTGATGAGAGAGGAGGAGAAATCATCACGGGGGCAAGAAGCAGCTCTGCTGGGGTGGAGGTGGAGGCGGGAGGGAGAAGTCCCACCTGCCAGGAACCCCAGGGAGGTGGCCGCCTTTCTCCCATTCTGTATCTTCCTCTGTCTCTGGCTTACATGCCGGTGAAGGGGCTATTTGGTGTGGTCCTGAAAGGAGTGAGTCACAGTCTGCCAACCCGATGGAGGACACATAATGGCACGTCAGGCAAATGCCGGCCCAGGCTGCTGCTACTACCATGTTCCTCAGCCCCTTTTGATGGCAGGATTTCTTCCTTCTATTCTGATAAAAAAGACAGTTGTCACTATCTGCGTAATAAAGCAGACCCTCACATAGTACACACTTACTACATGCTGGGCACTGTTCTTAAATGCTACCTGTGCGGCCTATGTCATCTCCCCAGGATTCCTATGAGGTGGCCACAATTATTATCCCCTATCTACAGATAAGCGTATGGTTGCTCAGTGAGCAACCACTTTCACAGGCTTGCATAGCTATTGAGCAGCAAACCTAGGTTTAGAGCCAAGCCATCCAGTGGACAGTCTGTGCACTAGACCACCATGCTATGTTGCCTATTCCCTGGGGGAATGGTTTGCCTTTAGGTGATGAGCTGCCCATCACTGTGGGTGACAAGGATACACAACTGGGCCAGATAGTGGTCTCTTCCATGTAGTTGGTATGTCCTCTGTTCCTGGCTCTGAGCTAAGCACTCTGTCAATGCTATCTCCTTCCAGCCAATGGCACCACTACCAGGTCAATCATCCCACTTTATGGATGAACAAGTTGGATTTTGAGAGATTAGGAAACAGGGCTGGAACTAGAAAGCAAAAAACCCTGCCCAACTCAAATCTCGAGTTCTGCACCTCTTATTGGGCATGTATGCCAGGGACTCAAACTTCAGGAGAGTGGGGTTGGACTAGATAATGTTTGTGAAACGCTAACAGATAAAGGGGCAAACTCTTGAATAGAACTGCTGTGACTAGTTGCTATGCCAATAATATTAGCCATCACATTTTAGACTTTATAGTTGGGGATATATTTCTCTTCTCAGGCTTTTTTTCTTTTAACACACTGCAGTGCTTTTCCTGAAAAGTGTCTTAAGGAACAAAGAGTCAAGTGGACCCTTAGAGGGTCAACTCTTTCTTTCTTTCTTTTTCTTTCAATTATTAAATGTTTGGCACTTTATTAAATAAGCTTCAAAATTACATACAAATCAAAAAAGAAACAATAAATAGTTATTCAGTGAAACGCCCCTCCATAGCAGCCAGCAGCACTGTGGCCCGGGCTCCCAGTGCTGCTGTGGCAGAGGCCTGCAGGTTGTCATGCTCGCCTCCCAGGGATGGCTAAACAGGGATGCACTCTTTCTGTCCTGGCATCAGCACCCATTTTGGGGCTTTGAGGAGACAGCAGCTTTCTTGCCTGGCAGTATTACCATGCATTGCCATCTGACAACCCTTGGCATAGGAATCACTGGCCAGGGCCCCAGGATCAACCTGGCAGTCAGTTTTCACATCTCTTCTTGCTTGTCTCATCTGCAGGATTTGGCATTTGTGTCAGCCCAGGAGACTCTTTGTGTCTGCAACTGTTTTCTCGCAAACTGCACATATTAGAGGCTAAAGTTCTCAATAGTGCTTGAATTATAGGAATCTTGAGAAGAGCCTGAATTAAGTATCCATTCGAACTTTTCTTGCTTACATACCTCATCTGTCAACAAATCTCATCAGCTTTACCTTCAAAATATGTCCAGAACCCAGCCACTTCCCTCCACCTCCGCTGCTACCACCTGGCTCACTATTCCTAGGCACAGAATTTCCCCTCAGGTGCAGACCTGGGACCACCGGACAAGTGAGAGGCAGGGCAATTCACTTCTGGGGAGGGGCGGTCAGAAGAGCCAGGTGACAGATCAGCAGGGAGGACAGAGGGCAGAGAGCAGAAGGCAGGCGATGGCACAGGGAGCCGCTGCTCTAAGACAGACCGACGTGGGCCCGAGCGCGGGTTTCGTTTACTAGCTGTGTAGCGTTGAACAAGCTTCTTAGCCTTTCTTAACTTCCATTTTACAGGCGGCAGGGAGGGAATGCAGTCATGACTTCCTCCCTGGCAGGGTCGTTGTGGCGATCAAAAGAGACAGTGCAGGTGGCCCAGAGTCGGGCTCCCGGTTGCAGGGGGTCATCCTCAGCCTGCGCAAGGCGTGGTGGGGCCGAGGCGACAAAGTGGAAGTGGGGGCGGAGCACGGCCCCGGGGGTAGGAGGCGAGCGGGGAGGACCCAACCGACCCACTGAACTCTTGGGCAGGCGGGCGGGCGGGGCGGCGGCGCACGGAGGTGTTCCCAGAGGCTGAGGGCGGCGACTGGCGCTTATAGGCTCACCCGGGACTGACACCCCCCCAGGGACACGGCCTGGGTCAGTTCAGCTGCTAGTGCTGCCGCCACTCGACAGCCTTGGGTCCATCAGTCGGTCCTCTCTCCAGGTCCCACCGCACGCACTTGACTCCTGTAACTGCAGCACGCACCTGTCGCCTGACGCTCGGCAGCCCGGCTCCAGCATGGCAGAACAGACGCCCTTCGACACAGATGTCAACACGCTGACCCGCTTCGTAATGGAGCAGGGCAGGAAGGCCCGCGGCACCGGAGAGATGACCCAGCTGCTCAACTCGCTGTGCGCGGCCGTTAAAGCCATCTCCTCGGCGGTGCGCAAGGCAGGCATCGCGCACCTGTGAGTCAGGCCGCCGGCCCTTGGCTCTGTTCCAGGGCGCGCCTTCCTGTATGTCTTTCTGCCTGGGGACTCCGCCTGGCTGTCAGGCCTTTGGCTGCCTGTTCCTCCTGCTGTCAGCTTCTGCCGTCCGTCTGACATCTGAGAGTCTCTCTCTTTCTGGTAGCCTTTCTCCGGATGCTTTACTAGCTGCAACCAGAGCCCTCATTCCACCTGCCTTTGACCCTGGGGTGGCATCTGATGGTCTGTCTCCCATGTGCACACCTGCTCCATCCGTCATTCCTCAACTCTGGTCTGAGCAGCCTGCACTGGCTCCCCTCTCCACCTCCTCCTGGTGAAGCTGGCCAGCCGAAGGCGGGCACCTGGTCTGCCTACCATAGCCATGCTAGTTTCAAACAGGAAAGTGCTAGCTTGGTTGTCTTCCTTTCCGTTTTTCTTCTCTGTCCTCCTTCACTCCCTTTGGAACTGGAGCCCCAAGTCATATGTCTAATCCAGTATCTCCTTGACCCTAAACAAGACCTACTAGGAGTGAGTGAACCCCTAGGCAAGCTTCAAGTCTGAATTCTCGGAGCTGTTAGGAGCAGCAATACTTGTGTACAAAATGCTCCAATGGGCTGGCCCCCCAAAGAGAGAACTTTCCCTGAGAGTTTCAAAACCTCTACCCATTTGCAACAATGGTGTGTGCAGCCCTTGCTCAATTCGCAAATAGTTCAAAATAGAATGGTTTTAAAAGAGCTGGGAAGTGCATCTTGAATTTCAGTGTGTACAGGTGTCATTTGGGGATCTTGTTCTTTAGGAGGTCTGGGGTATAGCTTGAGAATCTGCATTTCTAAGAAATTCTCCTTTGGTGGGTGGTGCCAATCTGCTACTGCTGGTCTGCAGATCACATTGGGAAGCAGTGAGGAGTCAGGAGATGTGGGGAATCAAGGAGCACCTTCGTATGAGGCTTTTTGTAAGTCACACAGTACCCTTTGGTTTGTTTTTGGTGTGCATAAGTATTTAACTGGTCCTTATTTTAACTGAAGGCTACCAGGGTTTTCAGATTGTCCATATTCCTTCCTAACATCTCCCAGACTTACGAGCACTATAAAAACAATACATTGTGCTCACAGCTGATCTGAAAACATATAGTCCTGCTATGGAATTCATTTAACCCCCCTCTACCCCCAAACCTGGGTTCCTTTTCTAGTAAGCTGTCATCTCTGGGTTGATGGAGTTAATTCTTAGAAAGGAGCATATGATCACATTTATGTTCAGATGTCAAGTAGGATCAGGCCTTGCTGGGAGAGAGGTAGGAATAGGTATGTTAAATAAGATGAATATTCCATTAATATCATGTTTCTAAGGATTCTTTACTTTGGGAAACATAGCCAGTTAAAATCATACTTTGAATTTATTTTACAGTAAGTATAGGTGGCCTCACATCTTTGTGGATCAGGGAGCTTTTTTACTAAAAAGGAGCCTGTCATTTCTGATATTGTTTTAAAATATGTCAGTACCTTTCACAACCTGAGAGAGACTCAGAAATGGAAGGTCTGTTTTGAGATGTCCCACCTTTTAAGTAACCTTAGGTAGAAGAATCTCAGTGAGATTTGGGACAGAGTGTGCAAATTTGGGGTACATATGTATGTATAGTTTTAGATTAGATAGTTGTGAATGCCAGGGTTTTAAAATAAAATATTATTCTTCTTGTTATATACTACTTAGTACTTAGGGCTACTTAGTAAGTAGTGCTTATTAACACACTTTAAATCATTCAAAAGAACCAAAGGTGGCCAGGCACGGTGGCTCACACCTGTAATCCTAGCACTCTGGGAGGCTGGGGAGAGTGGATTACTTGAGCTCAGGAGTTCCAGACCAGCCTGAGCAAGAGTGAGACCCTTTCTCTAAAAATAGCCAGGCATTGTGGCAAGTGCCTATAGCTCCCACAGAGGCAGAGGCAAGAGAATTGCCTGAGCCCAAGAGTTTGAGGTTGCTGTGAGCTATGATACCATGGCACTCTATGACTCTGTCTCAAAAAAACAAAAAACAAAAAACAAAGGAAAAAGTGAAACCTATATCCATCCCATGGGGTAGCCACTGTTAATAATTTAGTTTTTTTTTAACCAGATACTTCTTTGTACTCATATAAATTTATACATGAACACATATTTATTTATTCTTTTATGTAAATATCAAATAGTATGATTCACACTTAACATTTTTCTGTAGTTTGCTTTATCACTTAATATTATACAATAAACATCTTTAACTGTCAGGACTATTACACATCTAACCTCCTTTTTAACTATTGTGTAATATTCCACTGCATAGACTTATCATGAGCTATTGAACTCCTCCCCAGTTAGGAGACATTTAGGTTTTCATTGGTCTTTGGTTATTGCAAACAGTGCTGTACCCTTGGAACAGGTGTTGATGCCTGTTTGTGTGGGTAGCTGACTAGGTGGACCAGATACTGGACATGTAAGTACTCTTATGGGAAAATTAGAGTTTGGCTGTTCTCAGGATGACATGTAGTCAAGCTGGCAGCCATAAGACAAGATCTCAAGCCAGGCTCCTAAATTATATTCATTACAGGGTTTGTTATCCTGGATGAAAAGCCCGCATGCCAGCAAAGAGCATGTTATGCTAGTGCTGAAGACTTGCCCTAGGAGGCTATGTCCCTGGAGAGACGGGATGATTTATAGGAACCTCACCAGAACCAGTTTACAGTGCTCACCCCTGGCATCTCATTATGGAGTCATCAGGAGTTAAGCATAGGATCTGGGGCTTGTTCTCTCTCTAGAGCAAGAAGAAGAAAAGGTAGGATATGGGGAAAACCTCTCACTCTTGTCCTAAAATTGCTAAAGTTTCATTGCTTCTAATAAGATGTTCATAGAGCCATAGAATTTTAAACTAAAGGAGACTCAGTAGTTATCTTGTCCAGTCTCCTCATATAGATGAAGGACCTGGAGGCCAGGGAAGAGGAGGTGACTTGGCCAGTGGCCCAGGTCTCTGGAACCCCAGCTCAGGGCTTCTTCTTTTTTTTTTTTTTGCCATACCACACATCTCTTCCTTTATTCTTTTTTAGAAATCAATCCAAGTTCACCAAACTTTAAATCTCATTCATTAATCACATTTTTGATGTAAGTTCAGAAGTGTATTCCAAGGAACCATTGCCTTTAGGCGAACATGCCCTTGAAGCCCTCTGTATGCACTTCTGACTCTCCTCCACCTGCTCCCAGGAGAAAGGACATGCAGGTCCAGGCAAGGGCGGCCAGACTTCTGTTCTTCAGGAGAGCAGTGAGCAGCCTATGCAGTGATTCTCAACCTGTGGGTCACGACCCCTTTTTAACAATGAAAATACACTGTGGCATTAGGAGGGTTGAGAACCACTGCTAAGGGGAGCTGGTGAATTCACAGTTCAAATTTAAATTCAAACATTGCCCCACTTATTTGTTTTCCTTTCTTTGGGAGAAAATGGTCCTCCTGTGACTTAAACTTTTTTGTTTTGTGGAGTTGACTTTCCTTTGTGTATACTTCCAAGTCACTGAAAAATTCACTGATTTTATTCAATGTAACAAAATGTTATTGAATACCTGCCATGCGCAAAGTTCTAGAAGAGGCTGAGAGATGAGAACAACACAGCACTTACTCTGTAGGAAAAAATAAGACAAATGTAGAATTAGTTATAAAAGGCAGTAAAAGTTCTGAAAGATGTTTTCATAGAGGTGCCCAAAATACAATTCAGATACAAAAGATTGTGGAGCATCAAGATGCGCATTTGCAGCGGGTGCTGAAGGGTGGTCAGTTGTAACGCCTGATGGCTGGAAGCAGACCAGGCTAGGTGGTTATATGAGGACGTATCCTGAGTTTGACTAAAGCATGGAGTTCATCTGGTGGGGCAATTGTGGATGTGAAATTGTAGGTACACTAAGTAATTGTGAATGGAAGGGTGAATACTTTATGGTTTGGGAGGCATGCAGGGACAAATCTGATTAGATTTGATTAAATCATGATTAGAGACAAATCCGGGGAGTATCTGGAAGTCTAGAGTGAGAAGAGGAAAAGACAGGATATGGGGAAACTTAGTGGAAGAGGGGAGGAGTGAATTAAGCTGCAGCACTGGAAGAGAGGAGGCGGAAAATGTGAGAGAAGTCTGGATGTGGACTTGAGGAGAAGGGCAGCCAGGGAGGTCCTTAGAGTGCCGTTCCTAGCACTTGAGAGAGCAGGGCTCAAAAAAAAAAAGCAATAGGGTTTGAGACTTAGCCTAAGTGACATTATGAGACATCTATCTCTTCAAAAAAATACATGGTGGCAAGTGCCTGTAGTTATAGCTACTCAGGAGGCTGAGGCAGGAGGATCGATTGAGCCCAGGAATTTGAGGTTGCAGTGAGCTATGACAGTGTTACTGTGCTCTATCTCAGCAACAGTGAGACCGTGTCTCAAAACTAACAAAAACAAAACCAGAGCGTGCACCTGTGGCTCAAAGTAGGGGGCCAGCCCCATATACAGGAGGTGGCAGGTTCAAACTCAGCCCCTGTCAAAAAAACCTGCAAAAAACCAAACCAAACCAAACCAAACCAGAATTCTCATAGAGGAACTAGTTTTTAAAGGCTGGAGAAGCCTGAGAAAATGATTCCAACATTTTGGAAACTTTGAACTTGAGATGTTAGAGGGCTATGTAGTTGGAGATACTGTCCAGCCGGCAGTTGCAAGTGCCAGTCTGATGTGTAGATGTGAAACTCTGACTAAAGATTTGATTGCTAGATTTTGGCTTATTCTCCTTAAGGCAGAAAAAAAGGGAGGAAGAAAATCTGGACCGGACATAGCAGACAGAAATGTGCAGGGCTTACAACACATTAGAAAGATGTGGAGCTGGGCTTAAATTCCTAACTCTGTCCTGAAGATCTTTTTGGCAAACTATTACCTCTCTATTCTGCTCTTTATTCCTAAACAGTAGAGCACGTATGTGTCAGTGGGGATATATTCCAGGCTAGAACATTACATATTAGAACAATATT